TACATCGATGGAAGAGAGGAAAAAAGAACGACTGAATGTCGTCCACACAGCGTATCCAGCATGCGACCTTCCTGTGGTCCGGGTCTCGATAAGCCGTACCATCTACATAGAGAATTAAATCCAGGATTAAGTCAATGGTGTATCAGAAAGATCCTGGTCTTGGAGTACAGTCTGATTCAGAGCTCTGCCATGCAAGATGCGGGTGCCCTCACCAGGAGGGCAACAATGTGCAGGAATTGAGTGTAGAACATTTAATGGACAGTCCCATGTGGCAATCCCCAGAGTGTTGTAATGATATCGGAGCATCGATCTGCAGTAAAGATGTGAAGATTCTGCTCCGGTATTCGAAAGCAACAGAATGTGGAACAAACAAGAAAAGCTGGCAGAACTCAACAAAGTCACGTGATGCCAAGACTGCTGTTTCACACGCAGCTATGGCACTTAACACAATCAGGGAGACCTCTCGCCACAGGATCAGAAGTATTGAAAAATAACCAAACAGGTTTCAGTAGATCTCCATGTATTTTGGCAAAAGTACTGATGTCATGCATCCACATCTTCGTCCACAAACTGAAACCAAAGGTTTATTGTGTCTGGGATTCCCAAGTTGGAGCCGCTTTGCAGCAATTTTTCAAGTCCTGTAAAGGCCTGCTCTGCCTCTGGAGTCCACACGGGGGATGTGACCGCACACATTATCCCTCCCCACAGTCATATCACGTAACTTGTCTTTCTCCAGAGAAATTGGCGATAAAATGCCTGCAATATGAGCACAATCCCAAAAAATGAAAGAGTACTTTTTGTTTGAGGCTTCGGAGCTCAACTATTGCCGTCACACGCATAATGTGACAGGTTTTAACCCTCAGGGTTATAATGTGACCCAAAAACACAACATTTTGTTTTGACAAATTGCAACTTTGAAACAAAGCTTTGTGGCCCACCTCAGCCAATGTTTGAGAAGCTTTAAATTGTGTCCTCTTCAACAATTGTTTTCTATATTGTGGCTAGCAATCAACAAAATCCATCCACATAATTAATCAACCAGTCCCGTCAGTCAACAAAAGAGACGCTAGACTGATGGTTGAGAGCCTCACAAAAACCCCCCAAAAAAATTGGGGATGGGGGGCTTTGAGTTTAGGCCCAGACAAAGTCCGTGTGAAAGGTACCTTTTCCCATTAAAACAGAAGGCAAACCAAATTGGTGAATCCTGTCCAACAGTCACAGAAAAAAAAGCAATTGATAAGTCCACCACAGAAAACCATCTGCAATCTGCTGGGCATCTGACGCAAAAGATGTGTGTCGGATTAGGGACATTAGGAACATGAGAGATGATCCAGCGTTCACCGCCTTCAAGTCTTGCACAAAACGCCACTCTGTATGTTTATCTGCTGGTCCTAATTTTCATTACTGGAAAGATCGGAGTCTGCACTGGAGTCCACACATGTGACAATAAGTGCCCGCCTCATAAATGATTCAAAAACAGGTGTAATTCCTTCTAAAGGCCTCCGGTCTCAAAGGATATTGACAGCTGCCATCGTCTATAATCAGATTTAGCTCAATACTTAACAGTGGACAGTTTTTTGATCAAACCAACATCAATGGTTACTATTTGCCGCAGACTGTCCGGTACTTGTGTAACAAAGATGAAAATCTCAAGCGGAAAGTCAAAGAAGACAGAGTCAAATTTGGTCCGTCATTGTTATCATATAAAGACGTCAAAAAGCACTGAATTTAGCAATCAACTGTCTTCGTATTAGACATTATATACCGCAAACGATTGTGGAATAAAACCATTTTGCTCCACGGATCCCACGCCTCCCAGTCCCTCTGCAAAGTCATCTGCGCACAAAAAGGCCTAGGTTTGCCATGTGTCAGTCTTGCTTTTTCTATTGAAATATGAACTTGGAAATTTTCAAGACGATTAGCATTGTTTTTTGTGACTGGCTTAACTCTACTGAAGCCATCACACTTGAAATCAATCAAAGTACGACGTCAGCAATAATCAAGCAGTCATTTGAGCCCAGATTAAACGTTTCTTCAAATTCACAATCAGGGAGCAATGGTGTAAATGACACACACAATGCAGTCCTCATCTTTCAATAAAACAGATTTTTGGATAAGAAATGGAGAAACCAACCCCATAAAATTGACGCGCGCTGGCAGTATGAAAGCCACCAATGATATACAGACCATCGGACATTTGTTTTACTTTGACAAATTAGATCGCGCACGCACCTCTGTCTATTTACGCTTCTGCTGTCGTTGTGATCAACAACATCCCATTTTAATCATTAAATCAACGGCACCTAACAAGTTTACAGGACAAGGTACAGACATCAAAATGAATGTTTGGCTAGTTGCAGGGTTACGCTCGTTTGCCCCAGCTTTTAATACGATGAAACCATATGTGCTTGCCAAACGACTTATGGAACATTTTAATCTGACTTAAACATTGTAGGCTGGGTTCTTGACTTTTTAACTAAAAGAAGTCAAAGAGTGAGAGTCAATGGTGAACTCTCTGATCAGTGCACTGTTTCGACAGGCTCACCCCAAGGTTCTGTTCTCTCACCCCTGTTTGTTTATATTGTACACTAGCATGTGTCAGAGTGATCATGAAAACAGAATCATCTTAAAATATGCAGATGACTCAGTTACTGTAAGTCCACTTCACAAAAATGAAAGTCAGCATGGCCCAGTTGTTGAGGATTTTGTCAAATGGTGTGATGAGTCTTATCTTCTCTTGAATGTTGCAAAAACAAAAGATATGATCATCGACTTTAGGAAGAGCACTCTCCCACATGTTGTAACATATATAAAGGGACAACAAGTGGAGTGTGTGGAGTCCTACAAGTATCTTGGAACAATTATTGATTGCAAACTGAATTTTAATGAAAACTGTGCTGCTATTTGTAAAAAGGGCCACCAACGACTGTATTGTCTTCGGAAACTGTCCTTCTTTCATGTAGATAAAACTGTGATGACACTGTTTCATCGGGCATTCATCGAAGCGACCCTAGCTTTCTGCCTGGTCGCCTGGTGCGGGAGCTCTTCTGTTAGAAACAAAAACGCCTTGAATCAGCTCGTCAAGTGGTCAAGTAAAGTCATTGGCCAGCCTCAGACCAGTTTGGACTTTCTGCATGATAGACAGTTAGAGAGGATGGCACAAAGCATCGCAAAAGACCCAGAGCATCCTTTGCACTCAGAGTTTTGATTGCTTCTTACTTACTTACTTCTTACTGTTCTCAGGACAAATATTTATATGCGATTAAAATGCGATTAATTGCGATTAATTAATCACAAAGCCTCTAATTAATTAGATTATTTTTTTAAGCGAGTCCCAGCCCTAGTATATACTGAACCTATATCCATAATCAGATCCTCTGCAGATGTGTCCTATAATGTGCAATCCATGATAATAGCTTCTTCCGGGTTTGGCGCGATCGCTTTCTTTGTGCATAAAAACATTATTTTTTTCATTAAAACGTTAACAAATAATTCTGAAAACCTCCGTGCATGTGTATTAATAATGTATATGTATAATGTGTTCTGAGATTAACATTTAAAAGTGCTAACTGCGGATTTTTTAAATTCTCTGTTCGGTTTTCATGTAGTTCGAGAGAGTTCTAGTTTTGAACGTTCAGTTATAAATAGCTAGCATTACTCTCCGAGGTTGTCCTCCAGTATGGCTGCCGTAGCTACTAGTCACGTGACCTTAGGATCCCTCTATACATAGTTCCCACATGACGTCACTACATACGGGGATTTGCCGACCCGGCGACATTTGTGTTGGCATGCTGTGGGCAAAACAATAGAAAAAGAAGCTGAAACGTGTTAATGTCGTGATAAAGTTGAAAATGGTCATCTCCTGCTGGGTCAATGGATGTTCAAATCGTGCCGGAGGTTCCGTTAAACTTGGATTTTACAGTATACCCATCATTAGACTTCATGAATGTGAGAAGACTAAGCTTTTGTCAGAACAACGACGGAGGTTATGGCTTGCGAAGATAAACAGGCAAGAAACTCCCTCAAAACACGCAAGAATATGCTCGGAGCACTTTGTGTCAGGTGCGTATCGTATCTTATAATGTGTTGACAGACGTAATTTACTCAGTACTAACTTGTGTAAGCTGATACCTGGTAACTTGAGAGTTTCATTATTTAGCGTTAGATTACTTTATTATGAGGAGGATCGGTGTCGCGTCCGAGGCTCTCGAGGGCAACGTAAATGTATTAAATAGATAATAATAGTTCTATGGTGGGCTAAAACAATGTTCACAAACAGCATTGCTTCTGTAAAAAGATCTGTGTCATAAAATAAACTGCTCTTTACGCCTGGAAAAATCAGTTGCCCACCATTCACCAAAACATACGGTCAAAAACGCGGAAATAAACAATAACAGCAATCCAGAGTGTCCGTGTGGCATTAGCATTAATTAAATTAATTGTTAATATAATTAAAATAATTAAATGGAGCTCCAACTGGTATTAAATCTAAAGCTTTTGAGAAATGTTTGCATTGCTTGTTAATTTTTGCTGCATAATTTGATCAAATATGTAAAACATGTCCGTAGCACGTTAAACTGTGGTGCCATTGTATCAATATACAATTATTTGCTCAAAAGTTGCCCTTTTTTTTCAATTTGCGTTTGAATATCTACATTTATTCTCATTCTTCTGTTTAATGGAATGCACAAACACAGCAGCGTGCCATCAAAGATGGCGTCTCCGAGGAGGTCATGTGACATTCATTGGTCTGTGGGAACTATGTATAATTGAACATTTACTTCTTCTGAAATACAAAGACGCACACACACAGGCTGACGACAGCCTGTTGTTTCATGTGCACATGATAATGTCGCAACCTATTTCCGTCAGAGTTTAGGAACTTATAAGTGGAGTAAGAGAAACTTATAAGTGGAATAATTAAAAGTGCTTCTGTCGTTCAGAACTTTGTATCGGGGGCGCGCAGAGGAGTATGCGCGCTCCCGAGGAGGAGTCTGAAAATGGTGGCCAGCGCTCGCGTCCAGAAGCTGCTCCGGCGGTATAGACTGGCCATAGCCGCGGCGCTGACCATCCTCCTTGTCCAGGGACTGGTATTATGGAGCCTGCGGAGCTTGGAGGAGGGCGAGACCGAGGTAAGCGCTGTGTGCGGGCAGTGTGACAGCCCAGCTGCTCCTGGAGCGTTAGCATCTAGCTCTCAGACTGCGGCTGAGTGATTGAAGGGCTAACGTTAGCCGCTGGAGGAAAGTAACGTAACTGCCAAACAGTGATCATAGCTGGGCCAGTCCTGTAATGTCTGCATCACTCACTCACTCACTCACATGGTTCACACTGTGATTCGTGCAATTGACCGCCTTGTCTGCAGCTACAGCCATCCCGTTGAGGGGGAGACTAAACGTGTAGAATAATCCACACGTAGTAATTCTGATCCTTAGGAGGCAACTCAGGAGCTGTGACGTTACAGACAACCCAACACTCAAGTCCGGAGTCTGGGACAAAGCATACGTTTCTCTACTCTCTAACCGCTGTTAGCCAAGATAGTTGTTAATCTGTGTTTAAGGTATGTTAATTGTACAAGGTGGACTGTTCATGCCCCCACTCTGCTTGGAGAGAGCGGCTGGAATAAGATTCAAAATCATAAAGTCTGTCAAGATTGACTCTGGAGTAGGGCTGGGATAAACGATTATTTTTTTAAACGATTAATCTAGCGATTATTTTTTCGATGCATCGATTAATCTAACGATTATTTTTTTCGCTTCGATTCGATTTCGATTATCTCCCCATTAATTGACTAATATTGATGTATACATGTTGATTTAAATATTTTAATGAAAAAAACATGAATTCCTTCACAAAAAATATGTATTGCTTGCTCTTAAAATTAAAAAATAAGACATTCTTAGAGGTAGCATAAAACCTTAAAGCCTTAAAAACACAGCTTACTGAAAAAAGTGCATCTTATCATTCTTGAAACAAACATTTGATGCTTAGCATTCAATAAAAATATGAAAAAGTTCAGCCAAATACTTGTGTAGAGCAACTAAAAGAAAACAGTAACCAATGTAAACTTGAAGGCTTTAAGCTAAACAAAGAGTGCTTTTCCAGCAAAAACAGTGGGAGCCATCAGCCTGTCATGGCTACATAAGAGTGTAGAGTGGCCACAGGACGCGTCATCAGCCCACGTCAGCAGCTGCGGACTGCTATGAAAACATTAGCTTTGTGGTTTCACAGGCGCAGTTGACTGCTTAAACTAAACTTTGCACGAAACTTTGACTCTTAAAACCCACATGTGACAAAACGGAACCATCAACATATCGCCTCAAATTGCATTAAAAGTGACATTCGTGTCTGAATTCGTTCGTATTTTAACTTTTAAAGAAATTCACGGTCCGCCATCTTGGTTTGCTTCGGCTGCCGTGAGACGCGCATGCGCAGGTTTGCATTACATGATAAACAGCTGAGGCTGTGCATCTATTCAAGGCAGTGTATCTCAGCGTTACACCGGCTTGCACTTCTCTAACACGGCACTTGCATTGCTACCGCTCGCCGCCATCTTTGTTTTGTGTGTGACGCACCGACGCGCATATTATACGTCGGTGTATTTTTTGCGTCGACGTCACCGATTACGTCGACGCGTTGTCCCAGCCCTACTCTGGAGTCATCATTCCAGGTGGCAGGAACTGGAAAAACGTGAAACATTTGAATATACGCTAATATATATTTTTCACATGTCACCACTTGTCTTGACAGGATCCTCCATCACGAATCAGAATATTTTTTATTGCCATGTAATTAAGTAACAAGAAGTCACAGACTTGGAAATTGCTTTGACTCTCGGTGCAAACCAGTCAAGAGTAGAGAAGGCATAATAAAACATTTCTAAATTATGACATTTTCTAAAATATAATACATTAAAAAGTAAAATTATGACGATTATTACTATATACAAGTGCACTCTGTGCACACATTATACATTAAGCAGTGACGATTATTACTATATACATGACGATTATTACTATATACAAGTGCACTCTGTGCACACATTATACATTAAGCAGTGCAGTGACGGCAGTAAAGTGGTATTATAAAGGGCAGCAAATTGACTTTATAAAGGACGGGAGGTCTAGGTTATGAAGTGTTCAAGAGTCCAACAGCAGAGGGGAAGAAACTGTTCTTATGGCAGGAGGTTCTGGTCCGACTGGGCGTCGTAGAGGTCCTGCAGCGATGGGAGGCTACGGCCAACCACCCTTTGTAGAGCTCACAATGCGATGTAGTCTCTGCTTGTCGCTGAGAGTGACTCCAACGAACCACACAGTGATGGAGGAGGTGAGGATGGACTTGATGATGGCCGTGTAGAACTGCACCAACATCTGTGCAGGCAGCTTGGCTTTCCTGAGCTGCCACAGGATGTACATCCTCTGCTGGGCCTTCTTGATGAGGGAGCTGATGGTTGGCTCCCACTTCCTCCTCCCACTTCGTCCTGAGTGATGGTGGTGTCCCGGAAACGAAAAGACTAAAGAGAGGTGATGGGGGCTTCCATCAGGTAGGGCAGGAGCAGGAGGACTGTGCTTTTCCTGAAGTCCACAATGTCTTCTGGGCATTCAGCTCCAGGTTGTTACCACTGCACCAGGACACCAGTCGGTCCACCTCCTTCCTGTAGGCGGACTCATTGTTGTCGGAGATGAGTCCAATGAGGGTGGTGTCATCTGCACACTTGATGAGCTTCATGGCGTCGTGGCTGGAGATGCAGTGGTTGGTGTACAGGGAGAAGAGCAGGGGAGAAAGAACGCTGTATTTATAGTCCCGAGACATTCCTTCCTAGACGCACACACTGCTTCCTGTTCTTCAGGAAGTCAGTGATCCACCCGCAGGTATGTCTGGTGCTTTGAATCTATTATAATAACTGGATAGGGTATTACTAGCTTGGAGCTGAATAACCCATGTGCTCGGGGGATTTTCGCGGTACTGCAGACTGAACCAGACAAAATTCACGTGGGCTACCCAGAAATTTTCCCCATAGAACTCAATGTAAATTAAAACAGCTCGACCTCAGCTGACAGAGAACTTACAGCTTTAATAAAGGTCGGACTTTGTGGGGATTTTAGTGTCCCTTGTCATCCTGAACTTTTTTTCTTCTTAAATCCTTCGGTTTTGTTTAAATCCACACTTTTGTGCCACAAACTCTGCTTGTCTGGCTCTCGCTCTAACTCCCGCTCTTATGAACTGCTCTGGTTGGTCAGAGCGCGGCCGAGCCCCTCTGTGCACTGCGCAGAACCGGGAGGACCAGACGATGCCCAAATACAGGGGAGTTTCCCATGGATCTTTGCGAGTTTCCCATGGATCTTTGCGAGTTTCCCATGGATCTTTGCGAGCTAATCTTTTCGGCACCCATGCCGTCACAAAGCGCCACTGAGCACAACCATTCATTTGTGGAAATGAATACGCCGCCATCTTGGATCGCCGGGGCTTGGTCTGGTGGGGGTGTGTGTGTCAGAGGGGACAGACCACCACCACCACGGGACTGACAGAAGCGAGGCAACATACTGATAGCTGTGGCTACAGTAGTAGTTTATCACCACTGTTTATGGAGTGAAAGAATCATGACATGTGAAGGATCTTTAAGTGTCCTGAAAATTGCTATGTAAAACCAATGCATCTTTATTATTACTCTAAACGATTTGCCTTACATTGTTCCAGTTTACTTTAATTGGACAGAGACGGAAAGGCCTCCATTTATGTCTGGTGTATTTTAGAAAAAAAAGTAACAGGCTTATATTAATAATAATAATAATAGTAATAATAATAATAATGCATCGGTTTTATATAGCGCTTTTTTGGACACTCAGACGCTTTACATGTCATTATACATTCACTCCATACACTAGTGTGATTATAAGAAAATTAGTTTGGATGGAGCACACACATCAAAGGGTTTTCTAAATGATTAAACTATGAACCACCATACTCTTTCTAACAAGGTTTATTTTTGTACTAATGAAAGTGTAGATTGTTGTATTCTGATTAGCATTCACTTTAATTCTGTAACAAAACAATTTTCATAGAAAAATTAAAAAAACAATTAAAAATGTTGTTTAGACAGTCAATGTGATCTTTGATCTCGATCCTAATAGCCAACAAAACATCATCTAAAGCAGGGGTGCCCAAAGTGGGGCCCGCGGGCCATTTCAGTTGGCCCGCCAAACATTGCCCACCTCCGCGGTAAGTTTCTATTTGCATCCCTCAGCCTCGCTGAACACACAGATACATGTCTGAGTTTGCGCAGGCGCACCAACACCCTCTGAACTGCTACTGTCCAGTACTTCACTGTTGTATCGAGATACACTCCTCACTCATGGTTCACATCAACTTGCACTGAAATGTTTTTAAAATCAAACATCTTTCAAAACAATTGGGTGCAAGGCACCTTTATGTTCTTTTTTTTCAGCCTACTATTATTATTTTTTTGAGCAATTTAATGTTTTATCAAGTTGAGAGGATTGTGCTGGTGAACTGCCACTCCCCCCTCCTCACCGGAGGGAAATGGCGAGTGGAACTATTCACCTGCGCAATCCGCACCCACCCGGTGTGTTAAAAAAGGACGGACACAAACACTTCAGAGTGAGTTCAAGCAGAACAAGCAGGGATTGCAGCGCACAATCCAAGCAAGTAGAAGCAACAAATACAGTGCAAAACAAACCCTTCTACAACCCCATGAAAGAAGCCGGTAAGCGCCGTCATCACTCACGATCATTGAATGTCAGAACTTACGCGGAGTTTTATGATGTGTTCAAGAGCCCTTTGGAGGAGCGGAAACACGGACTCTTTAACAGTTACTTTGTTTTGATTGTTTATAAATGTTGTACTGTGTTTAGGCAAAACAAAACAAAACTCCAGGAACAAATCAGGGTTAACTAGTCTATAGTAATGCAAAACTGTTTAGAAAAAGGTCTTCAACAAACACATGAGCAGGTTAAAAATATAGATTTAATTTGGGAGAATGATATTATTTAATATAAATTAATACTTTCATTTACTAGCAGGCACATTATTTGTTTACAAGTAGCATTTAAAAAACAGTTTATTTACATAGAAAATGTATGTTTCTATTTTCTCTTTGAGGTTTTTCACCTGAACCTGAAACCAAGCTTAACACAGTAAATGGCATGAAAACCAAGACCCATGGCTGCTTATCGAGTGAAGTCCAGTTGGAATTCATATGTGAAGGGTTTATCCCTTTTTTGCACGAGGTAGAAAACCACCAAACAACTTGACTCCCATGAGCCTTTCCGCTTGTAGGAAATTATAAGAATGGCAAGCAGAAAAGTGCGCCCCTAGTGTTAGCTTTCTGTTTTATATGCTTTTCAGCTGTATATAAGCCATGACAGAAAATCTATCTCCTCTGGACCCTGATTACCCGGCCGGAATCTTTCCATACTGTAGTCTCCTCAAACCAGTATATATTAAATCTACATTTATTTGTGTTTCACGTGTAATATCAGTGTATTTGGCCCGCGGCCGACTGGCAAATTTTTACTTTGGCCCTTGGAAGCAAAAGGTTTGGGCACCCCGATCTAAAGATTAAATTTCTACAAGATTAATACCATGGTCTTTTAAACTACGTATGTTTGTAGAGCAGTTTAAGTGAATGTCACAGTTCAAACTGTGAAGAGTGAAGACTAACACTGATTAGACCCACCCATGCTAACCCCTGCAGCTTCCAGTTAAAATGTATGATGCCACTTTCATTGGGATAGCTATTCTCCTCCAGCAAATCTTACAGGACGTAGTTAAAGGTACTCTGTGTAATTTCTACAGTTGCTCCAAATGAACAAAACATGTTAACCAATAACAAATGTAATCTTTTTAAGAATATTTACATCTCATCTCAGATTTCAAAACCATTGAAATCACTAACACAGATCAGAGAATCAACAGTTAAAACACAAAGAATATAGAACACATGTTAAAGTGTCCTGGATCATCACCACGTGATGTAAAAGAACTACCCGAATAACAATCATTTAGAAAAAGAATTTGGCAAAAATCTAGAAACGGCGTCATAATAGGGGTGGGCAATATTGTATTATTGTCAATTAAAATTCATATGACACCCAACTTCTCTATTGTTCTCCAGTGAAGATATGCTTTTTCGCATTATCGTCTAATGTTATCAATACATATTTCAATTAGAGCAGGCACAATGCCCATTCGTCAAATGCGAGCCTAAAAGTGAATCGCTGCTTTATTTGTACATCTCAGTAAATACTGAGAAAGCCTTTTTGATGTGTTCTTACTTGAATTAGATTTTTAATGCTAAAGTAATATTATATTTTTGATATTTAATGCACAATATGTTTTTGCATGTTTAGCAAAGATGTGTGAAGCACTTTACAAATAAAAATCTGCTATTTTGATCTACACTGTCTCTATCCAAAGATGGCCTGGCAAGCAAAACATTGCAGATATTTTGTGTAAAAAATATTGATTTCAAAGATATTGTGACAATATAGTTATCAGGACTTGGGATAAAAATGTAGAGATATTAATACCATCTTAAAGCTTCGTTCAATCTCTTTTCAAGTCTGTTTTCCTTTTGTTCATCGCATGTCTGTAACAAATGTTATCATTATCTGAAGTCAGCTCATGGTTTTATGAAACGGAATTTTGAGAAAAACAGGTTTAAAGATAGATAGATTTTAAATAGAATCACCACAATCAAATATAACATGTTAAATTAGAATTACTGTTATGGCACACACTTATTTTTAGTCACTATGTTGTAAAAGATACATTTTTTTTTTTACTGTGGCACCAAGCAAACACACATTAATTAGATGAAAATCAAGAATGTATTTATTAATTCAACATTCAATTAATTGTACCCAATAACCTGGCTCCAACCCTGGTGGAAATGCAAAAGTACCGTGCCGTGCCGTACCATATCGTACCGTTACTGTGGAAAAGCGGCATATGGTCCTGTCCGCGTGTCTATGGTCCTGTCCATGTGTCTATGGTCCGCACTCGGAGCCACGTTCAGGCAATGCGTTCACTGAGGTGTCACAAAGCGGCCGCAGCTACTCTTTGGGTCAGAGCGGAGGATGTAACGTTAACATTCGGTTTATCAAAACATATCACAATGTTTAATGTATAAAACTAGTGAATTTCACCTAGATATTTTCAGAAATTGAAGACAAGATGTGATATAATAATAATTTAATTAAAACACAATTTTGCCAAATAAATGAAAATCGACAAATTACCAAGGGTCCACAGGTAATCCTAATCCCGTGTGAATAGGGTTTAAGAAGATTATTCCAGATTGAACTCTATAAAGAGCCTCTGAGAAGTCAAGCATGTAAACACATGCCTGTTGCCTCTGGGCTCTTTAGCCTCTTGTCTTTGTATGTGACGCATCACTGTTTTCATCCTAATGCTGTGATTTGCCCTTTTTACTCTTCCAGAGGAAGACTAGACGCTCCAAACTGCCTGACCACAGTAACCAGGATCATAAAAAAGACAGTGGCCTTTGGGAGAAGCAGAACTCTGTGCCTGGGAAGAGCAGGGGCAGAGGGAGCAGCCGGTTAGAGCGCACAGGGGGCACCGCAGCCAGCGCCCTGAGGAGGGGCACCAGCCGCAGAGTACCACGCCCGCGACAGAAGAACCCTGCGGAGCCCTACGACCCCTCCAGCAGCAAGAACTTCAGCGACACTCGCAGCGCCTCTGAGGGGGCCAGACTGCCCCTCATACCTGGAGAGACTGGCAGTGTGGATGGTGCTCACCAAGCTCCCAGCAGTGACTTTGTGCCAAAGTGTGACATCACAGGCAAAGACGCTCTGTCAGCTCTCCATCGAGCAGCATCACAGCAGTGCAGACAGGAGATTGCCAACCTGGTGTGTCAGCATCAGGCTGGCCAGCTCATGCCCCACAAACTGCCACAGTACTGCCCTAAGCTGGGTAAGCTTACACAGTACGCATACACGCACCCAATCACACTGACTAGAACAGACGAATGTTTATCCTGTCAGCAGAGCTTTACCAGGACCACTGAAGAAGACTCGACAGGATGTATTCATGTTATAGAATTAGATTTCAGTTGGAGGGCAGGTGTCAATACAACTGTCTGGGATGGAAGCAATCTTTTGAAAGAAATGTTGAAACATGTTGAAATGTTGAAGCTTCCTTCTTCCTCTTCTTATTTTTATTCTTATTATTATGTCTTGTTTTATCTCAATATTGTCACTACTTCTGGAAGTCTTTTTATTGATTGAAAATAATTTGAGCATAGTTGAAATGTAGAAAGCGTATTGGCCCAGATATTAGAGAAATTAGTCCTTAACAGACAAAAGAATTTGGACAGTTACCATAGTTCCCAGGAAAGGTTCTTCAACTGCCCTCCACAACAATTTTATAGGGTCTTTGAAATGTTGTGAGTTTATTTTGAACTTATTAGAACATCCCACTACCAAATCAAATCATGGAAAAACAATAGAGCAGTTGTGTTAAAATAATTTGAGAAAGCTCAGCGTGTTATATAATTATCGCTGTTTTATTCTTAATCTTGCAGGAATATCCAACCCTGTGCAGGCTGTCGGGGAGCTGGAAAACAGCTTGTCAAAGGTGGAGAACCCTGTGAGAGTTGCATTTGTCTTGATGGTTCATGGCCGTGCAGTGCGACAGCTCAAGCGGCTCATTAAAGCCATATATCACAAGGACCACTACTACTACATCCACGTGGACAAGGTAAGCTGCTGCTGCTTTGGACAATGAAGCACCATACTTCACCATATTTCATCTTTTGCAATCACTTGGAGAACTGTTGGAAAACAACATGAATCAATTATTAGTTTAGCAATTATTCTCAAGCGTTAAAAAAATATACACTACCGTTCAAAAGTTTGGGGTCACACAAGTGTTTTCCATGAAAAGTTACTTATTCACCACCATACGTTGTGAAATGAATAGAAAATAGAGTCAAGACAATCTCAAGGTTAGAAATAATGATTTGTATTTGAAATAAGATTAAGATAAAATCAGCTAAAGATTCCTCCATTTGCAGCAATTACAACATTGCACCAAAAACCAGACATTTGCAGCTAGAATAGTCATTTACCACATAAGCAATGTATAGAGTGTATTTCTTTAAAGTTAAGACTAGTTTCATTTCAATGTGACCCCAAACTTTTGAACGGTAGTGTATATATAGAAATGTTTTTTCTCATAAATGTAACCAAAGTTATGCCATGCAAGAACATCTTCATAGAGACAAGCTGTAACAAAATTAGTTGTTTTTAACAAAATGTCAAAACAAATGTTAACAAAATTTTTGAAATTTCTCATACACTGCAAGTATCAAATTTTGACTCCAAGAGGTCCAAACAGGTCATTTATGTGAATCAGATTTCGATCAGACTGTCATCTTTTTGCAGGTCTGATTTTCAATTTTATTCTAACCTGGCTAACACCAGACTAAAGATCACAGATCTCTTGGAACCGTCCATAGCAATTTTTTGGTCTATGTCTATCATATTAATCATTGAATAAAAAAAAATATTTTTTTTTATTGTATAGCCCTGAATCACAACAGATTCGAGAATCAACAGTTCAATACAATAAAAACACATAGTGGCCAACATATCAAAGAGCAACAGAAATTTGGCAAGAAGGGAAGTAGTGAACAATGCAAATTCCATCCATCCATCCATCCATTTTCTTCCGCTTTATCCGTTGCCGGGTCGCGGGGGCAGCAGTCTAAGCAGAGACGCCCAGACTTCCCTATCCACACACACTTCCTCCAGCTCATCCGGGGGGACCCCAAGGCGTTCCCAGGCCAGCTGAGAGACATAGTCCCTCCAGCGTGTCCTAGGTCTTCCGCGGGGCCTCCTCCCGGTGGGACGTGCCCGGAACACCTCCCCAGGGAGGCGTCCAGGAGGCATCCGGAACAGATGCCCGAGCCACCTCAACTGGTTCCTCTCGACGTGGAGAAGCAGCGGCTCTACTCCGAGCTCCTCCCGTGTGACTGAGCTCCTCACCCTATCTCTAAGGGAGCGCCCAGCCACTCTGCGGAGGAAGCTCATTTCGACCGCTTGTATCCGCGATCTCGTTCTTTCGGTCATTACCCAAAGCTCATAACCATAGGTGAGGGAGGGAACGAAGATTGACCGGTAAATCGAGAGCTTTGCCTTTCGGCTCAGCTCCCTCTTCACCACAACGGTCCGATACAGCGGCCGCATAACTGCGCACGCTGCACCGATCCGCCTGTCAATCTCACGCTCCATTCTTCCCTCACCCGTGAACAAGACCCCGAGATACTTGAACTCCTCCACTTGAGGAAGGACCTCTCCACCCACCTGCAGAGGGCAAGGCACCTTTTTCCGGTCGAGCACCATGGCCTCGGATTTGGAGGTGCTGATTCTCATCCCAGCCGCTTCACACTCGGCTGCAAACCGCCCCAGTGCATGCTGCAGGTCCTGGTTCGTTGGAGCCAACAGGACAACATCGTCCGCAAACAGCAGAGATGAAATCCTGTGGTCTCCGAACCGGACCCCCTCCGACCCCTGGCTGCGCCTAGATATTCTGTCCATAAATACAGTGAACAGAACCGGTGACAAAGGGCAGCCCTGTCGGAGGCCAACATTCACCGGGAACAGGTCTGACTTACTGCCGGCAATGCGAACACAGCTCTGGCTCCGGTCATACAGGGATCGGATGGCCCTCAGCAGAGGACCTCCGACCCCGTACTCCCGGAGAACCCCCCAAAGGACACCCCGGGGAACACAGTCGAACGCCTTCTCCAAATCCACAAAGCACATGTGGACAGGTTGGGCGAACTCCCATGAACCCTCGAGTATCCGATGGAGAGTATAGAGCTGGTCCAGTGTTCCGCGACCGGGACGAAAACCACACTGCTCCTCCTGGATCCGAGATTCGACCATCGGCCGTAACCTCCTCTCCAGTACCTTGGAGTAGACCTTACCGGGGAGGCTGAGGAGTGTGATCCCACGATAATTGGAACACACCCTCCGGTCCCCCTTCTTGTAGAGAGGGACCACCACCCCGGTCTGCCACTCCATTGGCACTGCCCCCGATCGCCACGCGATGTTGCAGAGACGTGTCAGCCAAGACAGTCCTACAACATCCAGAGACTTTAGATAGTCAGGGCGGATCTCATCCACACCCGGAGCCTTGCCACCATGGAGGCTACCAACCACCTTGGTGACCTCAGCCAGGGAGATGGATGTACCCGCCCCAACATCCTCAGCCTCTGCTTCTGTAACGGAGGACGTGACGGGGGGATTGAGGAGAACCTCAAAGTATTCCTTCCACCGCCCGACAATATCCCCAGTCGAGGTCAGCAGCTCTCCACACGCACCGTACATGGTGCTGGCAAAGAACTGCTTCCCCCTCCTGAGGCGTCGGATGGTTTGCCAGAATCTCTTCGAGGCCGACCGATAGTCATGCTCCATGGACCCTCCGAACTCCTCCCAGTCCCGGGTTTTTGCCTCTGCAACAGCCCGGGCCGCGGCACGCTTGGCCTGCCGGTACTGGACAGCTGCCTCAGGAGTCCCCCGAACCATCATGGCTCGATAGGACTCCTTCTTCAGCCTGACAGCATCCCTTACTGCCGGTGTCCACCACCGGGTTCGGGGGTTGCCGCCGGGACCAGCACCAGAGACCTTGCGACCACAGCTACGAGCCGCCGCATCGGCGATTGAGGCAGAGAACATGGTCCACTCGGACTCCATGTCCCCCTCCTCCGCCGGGACCTGGGAGAAACTCTCCCGGAGGTGTGAGTTGAAAGTCCGTCTGACAGGGGGCTCAGCGAGACGTTCCCAGCAGACCCTCACTATACGCTTGGGTCTGCCAGGTCTGACCGGCTTCTTCCCCTGCCAGCGGATCCAACTCACGACCAGGTGATGATCGGTTGACAGCTCCGCCCCTCTCTTTACCCGAGTGTCCGAGACACGCGGTCGAAGGTCAGATGATACGACAACAAAGTCGATCATCGACCTCCGGCCTAGGGTGTCCTGGTGCCACGTGCACTGGTGGACACCCTTGTGCTCGAACATGGTGTTCGTGATGGACAAACCGCGACTGGCACAGAAGTCCAACAACTGAACACCGCTCGGGTTCAGATCAGGGGGGCCGCTCTTCCCGATCACCCCTCTCCAAGTGTCACTGGCGTTTCCCACATGGGCGTTGAAGTCCCCCAGGAGAATAACGGAGTCCCCGGGCGGTGCACCGTCCAGTACCCCTCCCAAGGACTCCAAGAAGGCCGGGTACTCTACACTGCCGTTAGGCCCGTAGGCCGTCACAACAGTGAGAGACTTGTCCCCCACCCGGAGGCGGAGGGACGCGACCCTCTCATTCACCGGGGAGAACTCCAACACGTGGCGGCTGAGATGGGGGGCAATGAGAATGGCCACCCCAGCTCGCCGCCTCTCCCCGCGGGAAACTCCAGAAAAGTGGAGCGTCCAACCCCTCTCAAGGAGTTGGGTTCCAGAGCCCAAGCTGTGTGTGGAGGTGAGGCCGACTATCTCTAATCGGTATCGCTCAACCTCCCCCACGAGCTCGGGCTCCTTCCCCCCCAGTGAGGTGACGTTCCACGTCCCAAGAGCCAGATGTTGTGTGTGCGGACTGGGTCGCCGAGGTCTCCGCCTTCGACTGCCGCCCAGTCCTCTCAGCACCGCTTCACCACGGACCCCTCTGCAGGTGGTGGGCCCACAGGAGGAACAATGCAAATTTAATTTACATAATGATGCGTAACTATTACCGCAGTTTAAGCAAAACATCAGGGAAGCAGTCATCTGCTGGAATAGTGTGTCTTCCTCGTCTTGCCGTCCCTCCCCTTTCTATTATTAGTCCCTAAATCCATGCAAAAAATTGGGCAGAGTTTCGAGGCTGTTTTTTTGTGCTCACACATGCTAATTTTATACTACATTGGACTACTGGTCTGTTTGATCCATAAAACCTCTTCTAGCCATGTTTAAATCTGTGTATAATCAGACAAATATAGATGACAACTATTTCAATAATCTAGTTAAGTTGTTACAACCCTAATCTTGAATCTTGACAGTTTGACAACAAATTACTGCACTTTTAACATCTGCTTGTTTGCCCCCACCGGCGGAGGCACGCCGACTGTGACACACGGACACACTGATAGATCAATCAACATGACACCTAGCTACACAAATGACCCACCAAAATGTTCAACAGAAACTACCCTACAAAACTATCCACTTCGATTTCAGATCAATCAGATTAATAGCAGCATAAACAAATGAAGAGAAACTCCCCAATACGGACTCCGCTCCTCGAGGGTAAACGCCTCCAGGAAGTAGCAAGGTGTTTCTGTCCAATCACGTTGGACAGCTTTCCAAAGGATGCCAAGAAGTACGTGACTGGTCCAGGACAGTGTTGGGCACGTTACTTTGAAAAAGTAATTAGTTATAGTTATTAGTTACTTCTCCCAAAAACTGAGTTACTCCACTATAAAAGTAACTAGTTACCAGTAAAAGTAACTATTGCGTTACTTTTTCGTTTCGTTCTGGAACATAATGTGCACTCGACGTGCACATTTTTACCTTTAACCCAGTGGGGGAGGGTCCCAGCTCAAAAGTGGCCAAAATGACGTGCGCTGACATGCTTGCAATACCACCCCGGGCCGATGGGGGTGGACCCAGAAGGAGAATTAGCCAATGCTAACATATAGCATTAGCAGACCTCTCAAAAACGTCTTT